GTCTTACAGTTTTGAACAACTATAGCTGTAAAAGCGGCCCTGGTGACGTACGGATAGCGCACTCGCCCGGAAAGCGTGAGGAGCGGGTTCGACTCCCGCCTGGGGCACGACTTTTGCCCACAACTCAGCATTCTTGTGCTTTACAGTAATTTACCGGTCCTTACAGATGGCCAATGGAAACCAGCAAAAGCCCCTCTCAGCCGAACTCTGCCCAAATGATCAAAAACACAAACAGTCAACACCTACCGTAGAACTCCCCCTAACGATAAGCATAGCCAGGACCAAACGTCACACCATAGATCTTATCAGTGTCACATGGTGATCATCGGTAAGTTCCAGCAATTTCGGTTTTCACGCGCTCCTATGCAGATCACCGGTTCAGCAAAGACCACCACCATTGTGTTCACGTCATTTTCAGCCTTGACTGCACCGTCCCTTTTCGACTGTGACATTGGGATTCCGCAGCGCGATTTTTGACCGCGTTGACCAAATGCACGCGGCCAAAAATCGAACCTGATGTACGGACCCCTAATAATATGAGGTCAGATGACCGGGTTTGCAGACTGGGACATAAGAAAGAGAGGAGGCATCGATGAACAAGTTCTCTGCTGCTATTTTATGTCTTACTAATAGATTTATGAAACGCAATTCACTGACGCAATCACTTCCAGAGAAAAAAGAACCAGGTCGTTTTCGTCCAATGGATCCATTATACGAAAAAGTTAATGTAGGAAATATTGATCGACCCCTTCTGGGTAGCCCTATAGCAGATATTATTCCATTCAAAAAAATAATAGAAGAAATCTGGGATTTGCTTCAGCTCACATACTGACTAGGGGCAAGGTACAGCATCGTGTACGAAATGGTTAAATGTGTCAGTACGATCCCTCCGAATTCCCTTCTCTGCTACGACTCCCTCCCCTTTCCATCCTCCGACTATTTTCCTAGCTTCTTCCGAATTTCTACCTTTTTTTGCAAATTTCTTGAAAACAATTTTTCTCAAAAACGGGGCGGGGCACACAGGGAGGCGTGGGCGAGGGAGAAGTCTTCACTAATGGGCTACCAGAATTAGGCCGAATAGACCCCTCCTCAACGAACAAGTACGACCCGCATGGGATTCTCCCGCGCTGTTCCCTGCTAGGGGGACCTAATGATGTTCAAGTAATGTTTTTGTGCCTACATCTATCTTGAAAAAAAATTATCTCAGGGGGAACTTAGGCCTGGGTAGTAGTTGATCCAGGACCGCGAGGACGATTGTAAGCCTGACTTGTTTGCGCCTTTGCATGCTATTAGATGGAACATCTGTTGACTTTTGGGAGGGACCACTCCAGCAGAACAATGCCTTGTCATTTCTGCTCGCCTGCATGCTCTCATCGAGGCAGCTTAACATGTTTTAACATGACCTAGTCATGGTTAGACATGTCACTCTCTCAGGACAGTACCCCTTCACCTAGAATTCACCCCAACGGTAAGACGTGCCCTGCGGTTGAGCCTCGCTAAAATTGGACCCCTTCCGAGGCACATACACCCATTCATTCAGAACGGGCGAACGTTCCCACGGAACTACCGTCTCCACATGCCAACGGTTCCACCGTATGAGCGCAGTATTCCACTGCCGCAGCGGAATTAGCCAGTCGCAAAATTGAAAACGTAAAGTCTACTCACGG